TCACCACACTTTGATTTTCGTAAATGTTTAAATACGCGCGTCCACACTGAAGTCGTATTTCACAGGGATTTCTCAAATAAAATATGTGTATAATCTATGCACTGATTCACACAGTCAGCTGTTGCCAACTTAGTATCAGGTTTGTGGGCTAAATCAAACCTCAAAAAGGGCTAGATTTGCCAAAAAATTTAAACTGGTTGTTACATCTCTAAATAAACAATGATATGAAGTCGTCTATTATCAAAGGTGGCAATCTGTGCATTTGGACAAAAAAATTATTTGTTTTGGGTTGTACATTATTTATTGACTTTGATATCGATTTAATATGATTGCTTATATAAAATTTCTAATTTTATCATGCTTAAAACATACAAAAATAATAATTAAAACATATTTTATAGGATCTCAAGAAAGTCGATGCCCCAAAACTATTATCTATATATATTTAAATTCATTATGGAGCCCTCATCCGAAACATAGATTATACACTTAATATATTTGAATCCGAAATATCGGACACCATTTTTCGGTCGGAATCTATTGATCATGACACTAATCATAAATACCTCTTTAAAATATGTCATCAAAACATATTTAGACATTCTGTTTAGATATTTTGGGAAAAAGGCTACCGACAAAATTTCTTCGGAACTATTTAAATAAAATAGTTTTATTCCGCAGTGAGTAAAACACTATTGTAAATTCGTTAAATATTTAATAATTAAGTGATTTTAGAGAGGAAGTCACAAGGAATGACGTTTGTAATTTCATTAACGAATAAATGTTCTGTAGGTGTTTTTTTTTATCAGGCGGTCTCTTGATAAGTTTAAAATTTGCGTGCGGTGCGGTAGTGCGGTGCACCTTCCTTGAGGTGCGCTGCGGTAGTGTGTTACGGACTTTAGAGTCAGCAAAACAATTAAAATAGATTGTAATAGTCTAAGAAAAACACGTACTCAAAATACGATAACATTCAGCATGCTAGAAATAGGCTGATGGCACTGTACTATGCCATATCTTTATGTTTTGCGGCAAACGACAACTTTATAAAATCAGTGTAGCAAATTTTAAAAATCGTCATATCGTTTACTTGGAAAATTTGAAGCACGAACTCGTCTTAGATTTCACATAATATCTAAATCACATCATCTTTGCACATAACAATATACTTATTTTCTATTAAAGTATATATTCTACAAATACATTCATACTCAACAATATTTAAAATAAAATAAGCCAAGAACGTTTATCGATAAAACCTACTAACATTAAAATCTTCTGGGCAGCACTAAAACCGCCATGTTTTGTGGCCAGATGACGTCACAGTGGCACGAATTTTTTGTTGACGTTTCATTTCCATAGGTTTCCTACTTCAATGGATTTAGCCCACAAACCTGATACTAAGTTGGCAACACTGACTCTGTGAATCAGTGCATACTGCATAGATTATACACATATTTTATTTGAGAAATCCGTGTGAAATGCGACTTCAGTGTGGACGCACGTATTTAAACATTTACGAAAATCAAAGTGTGGTGATTTTTTTTAATTGTTAATAATGGAATCGTGAGTATTTATTCATTATATTTTACTAACATGAAGTGAATGTTATTTGCATTTCATGACAAAAAAACGTCTTTGAAGTAACGGCCTCGTCATTTTTTGAACCTAACGGTCATCTTTAGTTGGTCGTTTTTAATAGAAAAATTAATAAAAAATTAATAAAAAAAGAGCCCAGATACATTTACAACTTTTTTTATTTGTTTTATTGCATTGATTGGTGAACGAGCTCATGGCCCACCTGATGTTAAGTGGTTACTGGAGCCCAGATACATTTTCAACTTTTTTTATTTGTTTGTTTTATTGCATTGATTGGTGAACGAGCTCACGGCCCACCTGATGTTAAGTGGTTACTGGAGCCCAGATAAATTTACAACTTTTTTTATTTGTTTGTTTTATTGTATTGATTGGTGAACGAGCTCACGGCCCACCTGATGTTAAGTGGTTACTGGAGCCCAGATACATTTACAACTTTTTTTGTTTGTTTGTTTTATTGCATTGATGGGTGAACGAGCTCACGGCCCGCCTGATGTTAAGTGGTTACTGGAGCCCAGATACATTTACAACTTTGTTTGTTTGTTTTATTGCATTGATTGGTGAACGAGCTCACGGCCCACCTAATGTTAACTGGTTACTGGAGCCCAGATACATCTACAGCTTTTTACACAAGCTCATTTGATTTTTTTTTTTTATGCCAATACGCATTTCAGACTCGTCACTATGCCAATCAAGGCGTTGCCGTCGGGTCGAGCAATGGAGACGCCGATGCACCCGAAGAGGGTAAGGGTGCTCGCTCCGGTAGTGGAAAACCCAAGGTGTGTATTCTGGGACTTTTCAATATATTTAGGGTTTTTAACAGCAAAACAGTATCTCTAGCTTTGTTTTCAGATCAGAAATGTGGGGATCCAACGCTCCGTCCCTGGCCAGGAGGGACCAGGAGACGCCTCCGGTGCCATCACCTGCCCTGTAACTATATTATTCAATAATGTAACCTATTTTATAAACAAATAAAGAAAAAAATATTTGAGAAACAAAATTTTTGAGCCATTAAATTTATATTAAATTTTTATTCAATATTTATTTTCGAAATCAAAGAAAAATTTGAATTTTGAGATAGGTGGTTTACTTGATTTTTTTATTTTATTTTGTACTCATTTCTTAAATCAAAATTTTTGTAGATACGTAGAATGTGGGCCTAGTAGCGGGGCAAGCACGCCGACCACCGAGCGGCCTGCGTAAGTACCTATACATTTTTTACACATCACATAAACATATTTTTATGCATTAATTTTTTGATATATGTTATTAAATATTTGTTTTATTTTTCAGAAGTCTGGGTCACGTCTCAAAGAAAGCTCGGCGTGAATTGTAAGTTCATCTCTGTATACTACCAATGTAGAATATAAAATAACCATAAAAAATAATTACTAGCATTGATTTAAATATTCTTTCTATTTTGTAGAATCCCTTCGTCCTCTTCGTCCTCTCGACCTCTTCGCGATGAAGAGATTTTGGAATTGCTCAATTACGGTAAGTGATATCAACCTTTTTTTTATTTTTTTTATTGCATAGATAGGTGGACGAGCTCACAGCCCACCTGGTATTAAGTGGTTACTGGAACCCATAGACATCCACAACGTAAATGCGCCACCCACCTTGAGATATAAGTTCTAAGGTCTCAAGTATAGTTACAACGGCTGCCCCACCCTTCAAACCGAAACGCATTACTGCTTCACGGCAGAAATAGGCGGGGTGGTGGTACCCNGACGAGCTCACAGCCCACCTGGTATTAAGTGGTTACTGGAACCCATAGACATCCACAACGTAAATGCGCCACCCACCTTGAGATATAAGTTCTAAGGTCTCAAGTATAGTTACAACGGCTGCCCCACCCTTCAAACCGAAACGCATTACTGCTTCACGGCAGAAATAGGCGGGGTGGTGGTACCCACTCGCGCAGACTCACAAGAGATCCTACCACCAGTAACCTTTTTATCAATAATCGCGAAAGTAAAATACCTATTACAATCGAAACCACAACTTATAACTTTTTCCTTTCAGGCAGCGAAGAAGAGTCGGAGGAAGAGGAGGACGCAGAAATTATGCAGCCGCCGCCGGTGCCGCACTCGACCAGGATGTGGTTAGACGAAGAGGATGAGGAAATTGAAAGAGGTGAAGAGACCAGGGAGAGAGATAACATTAATATAGAGCAACCTCCTCAACCTCTTCGTCTATCCACATCCACCTCACCGACGGCTCTTTCGCCCTCTGTGGCGGTAGGGCTAACTAATAAATTTAGTTTTGAATGGAGAACGGCGCCGATGCCTCCAATCGAACCTGATTTAAGGCGAGAACCGTTCTCCCAAAATAGTGGTCCAAAGGTTTCTTTCGCGACTCCGTATGATGCATTCATTGCCATATGGAATCGTGAAATAATGGAATCGATAGTCGAGGAAACCAACATTTACGCACAGCAGCTGGCAACGGTCATGCTGGAGACTGGGACGATCCGCCCTCATAGCCGGATTACTCGATGGCAAGATACGAATGTAAACGAATTTACACGTATTTTGCCATCATTCTGGCTATGGGGGTGGTCATCAAAAGCTGCCTGACCGAGTATTGGCGCACGGCACAAGACATATTTTATACACGAGGCTTCTCCGCCCAAATGTCGTATGACCGTTTCCGTATTATATTATTCCTATATTCTTCTTCCTGGTTCAAAAATTTTCTTATTGTTGGTCTAGATATGCCCGTTGCGTCCGAAATTCGCTGTTGAACTTTGCCAAAATACTCATGATTTGTTGCTATTTTTGAATTTGTTATTTTTCGATATGAAGTACAGGTAAATATTAAATATAATTCCTTGGACTGGATTTTTTAACCGTTTTCGAGGTATCTGCATGGCTATACAACCTTTTTGTAAGTAATTTGAAAATATGATTAAAATTATAGCGAATATTTGAATTGCGTTTTACCACTCTATATACCTATACCTATATTGGTCTGCTGATGCGACTTACCCCCACGACTCTAAAATGGGTACTGAAACTATTTCAGAGAGCAAGATAAATACGAACTTTTCCGATAAATGACGAATGAAAACTATATTTTCTCACTATATCTATACTTTAACGTATTTAAGTTTTTTTTTGCTTAGTTGGGTGGACGAGCTATCAGCCCACCTGGTGTTAAGTGGTTACTGGAGCCCATAGACATCTACAACGTAAATGCGCCACTCACCTTGAGATATAAGTTCTAAGATCTCAGTATAGTTACAACGGCTGCTCCACCCTTCAAACCGAAATGCATTACTGCTTCACGGCAGAAATAGGCAGGGTGGTGGTACCTACCTGCGTGGACTCACAAGAGGTCCTACCACCAGTAAAAGTATGTATTATATCGAGGGAATTATAATAACGGAAACGTCATTCCGAGACCAATCGATGTTGATGGTACACCTCTCGAAGTTGTTCAAGAGTACCTACCTGGGACAGACCCTACAACTAGGTAGAAACAACTTTGAGAAGGAAGTGACCAGAAGGATTCAGTTGGGCTGGGCAGCGTTCGGGAAGCTTCCTCAGGTCTTTTCGTCGCCCATACCACAATGTCTGAAGACAAAGGTCTATAATCAGTGCGTCCTACCCGTGCTTACCTACGGAGCCGAAACGTGGACACTGACTGTGCGACTAGTCCACCAACTAAAAGTTACTCAGCGAGCTATGGAGCGAGCTGTGCTTGGTTTGTCATTGCGAGACCGAATACGCAATGAGGTCATTTAGGCAAAGACCAAAGTGATCGATATAGCTCGCAGAGTTAGTAAGCTGAAGTGGCAGTGGGCTGGTCACATATGTGGCCGAACCGATAACCGTTGGAGCAGACGTGTTCTGGAGTGGAGACCGCGAACCGGCAAACGTAGCGTAGGACGCCCTCCTGCTAGATGGAGCAACGACCTGCGCAAGGCAGCTGGCAGTAACTGGATGCGTAGAACCGAAGATCGGGTTCAGTGGCGAGCTTTGGGGGAGGCCTATGTCCAGCAGTGGACTGCCGCAGGCTGATGATGATGATATCGAGGGATGAAAGGCTACTTGGTTTTAGTGACATTCTTGTAACTTTACAGGAGAGCCATTTATAGTTAAAAGGCAAATTAATCTAATCATCGCATGTTTGTCCGACGACCGCCGGCGCAATATTCAGGAGTGCTAACTATTACAGCAACGAGTCTAATTCATAGTATTCAGCCCATATGTAGCAAATTGCACAAAAACGTTTTGCAATAGGTAATAAATATTTCTCAGCTGTAGAATATAGTTCATCTATAGAATATTTAAACAACAAAATTTTGGGTGTATCCGTTAAATACGTGTATCCAAATTTAAATGAAAGAACGCTGCCCTAAAGGCAACTTAGGTTTTATTTCCGATCAGGACACCTGCATACNTAGTATTCAGCCCATATGTAGCAAATTGCACAAAAACGTTTTGCAATAGGTAATAAATATTTCTCAGCTGTAGAATATAGTTCATCTATAGAATATTTAAACAACAAAATTTTGGGTGTATCCGTTAAATACGTGTATCCAAATTTAAATGAAAGAACGCTGCCCTAAAGGCAACTTAGGTTTTATTTCCGATCAGGACACCTGCATACATTATTAGTACTGAGTGGGGGTAGTTTATTTGTGCAAGTCGTCCTAGTGCAAAAAAACGTTTTAGTGTGTGGTAAACCTAAAATAAAACCAGATTTTTAATTTTCTAATATTTTATTGTTATAATCCTTTAAGTGCTTTATTCATACAAAAACTACAGCGGTAACAAAAAACAACGTTATTGCCCGTAATAAGATTAATGAATAAAGATACAATACACCAATATCTCTTTTGTTAGCACCATTTTTTTAATTTCAACTTTTTTCTACAAACGTATTTTTAACTTAAATCGCTAAGAATGCATTATTATGAAAAGTCAAAGGTCTTTTTAAATAATATATTTCCCATATTATTCATTTAAATTAGTTTGATAATTATATATTGATAAGAGCTATCTAAGGTTAAGTTAATGAACGTCTCCTCGCTCACTCGTACACAACCTCAGATAATGAGCTCGAAACAAGAAATTTGGTCCAGCTTCAACAAGTTTTCTTTTTTGTTAATAAAAAATAAAAACGAAATATCCCATTCATTACAGTCTTTGGTTAGGACAGAAAAAATATACCAGAAACCTTAAATTTATAATATCACAAGCATAAAACAGAGATAGTTTCACTTCCACAAACAATTCAGTCAAACGTTTATTTTTTTAATTTTGATACAAATCCTAAAACATTTTTGAAACATAAATTAAATACCTGAGTGCAATGAAGTACTAAATTATGTTGGGAATAAGTGCATTGTAACTTAATTACTAAACATAATTGAATCCTATGCAAACGATACAACAAGCAAGATATTTAGTGCTATTAATAGATGGCAATGTATACCTAAATTAGAATACGACAAGGATACAATGCACAAAGTACTATGCGAGAATCGTACAGTAGTGTACACTGTCAATTTGTCCAAACAAATTAATCTACAATGTACCTTTTTAATACTTTCCAGGCATAAAGATTTTTTTTTCGAATCCACCTTAAGCTAATAACAAAATCTTATAAATACTACACTTTACCACACTTTCAATATTTTTATTAAAATTTGTTGCATGAAAGTGACGATAAAATGTTAAATATCCATTAAATTATTTTAAAGGCACAATAATATGAGCTTATGGCAGCTTTATGCCTACGACAGAAGACAATTCCATACCTCCTGTACATTAACTAACGCAACAGTACTAAGAAAGAAACACGAGCGAACACTCGATTAAGAAATGCTCGTAACCTTTGCTTTTTGAAACACGATCCTTTCTTAGTGAGAATAACAAAGAATCTATAAATCCCACAAGATTAAATTCAGTTCGCGACTTCCATCACATCAAGATACTCACGATAAAACCCTCATCCGTCTAAATATATTAATTTATTTAGCTCTAAAATAAGGCCAATCATCAAAGATGATTTAAAATGATATGCCCTGCAATAATATCCATAATGTGAGATATTAACGAACATCCGATTCTAGGTTTATATGGATGACAATATCATTGCAACCTACCACCTTGCACAGCGTGCTATTTGGACGAAGGATAGTAATAAAGAACTGCGCATCCTGGTAACTGCCACCGNTAATTTATTTAGCTCTAAAATAAGGCCAATCATCAAAGATGATTTAAAATGATATGCCCTGCAATAATATCCATAATGTGAGATATTAACGAACATCCGATTCTAGGTTTATATGGATGACAATATCATTGCAACCTACCACCTTGCACAGCGTGCTATTTGGACGAAGGATAGTAATAAAGAACTGCGCATCCTGGTAACTGCCACCGGGATGCGTGAAGCTCTATAAGCTGCAGTAAAGTACGCCTGATGGAAGGAGCCGCGGCAGTATTGAGGAAAGCGTCACGGACGGCTGTAAGTAATCGCTCCAAATCTCCAGGTAGCTGAGTTTCCAAGTCTCGGCCTATGTACGTCAGTACGAAGAACAGATTCTCAGTCTGCAACGATTTACAAAAAAAATATTGGGGCAGTCAGATTATTGTGACGTAACAAAAATCATTCGTTGAAGTTCAGACCTTTCTGTAGACGGACAAGCAAAATGTGAAATGTGTTGCGCCCTTGAAGATACAAAGCAGGGCTTTAACGTCTGATTGTTTCGTAGTAGAAATAAGCAGTATAGTTGTCCCTATCCTTTTAAATTTATAATGTAAGATACACCAGCTGTAAATGCAGGCATGGTAGGCAGCGGCTTGGCTCTGCCCCTGGCATTGCTGAAGTCCATAGGTGAAGGTAACCACTCACCATCAGGTGGGCCGTATGCTCGTCTGCCTACAAGGGCAATAAAAAAAATGCAATTTATAAAATTTACAGGTTTGATTTTTATTACACGATGTTTTTTTTTTTTTTTTTTTTTTTTTTATGATTGTAAGTTTACTGGTGGCCCGAAGGCCTTTCCAGTTTCACCAGGACAGGTGGGCGAGCAAAGGCTCAGCCAAGAGGGGTGGGATTTGCTAACAACTGCCCGAGCGCCTCCGAAGGAGACCTAACAACTCAAGAGCAATTGTTTCGCGAATGAATCTACTACCGGATCGGAATCGCGACCCGCTGAGAAGATCCGGCGAGAAACTCAGCGGGCTGATGCATGGGTTAGGTTGCACGTCGACCTCTTTGTCGAGTTCGACGAGTACGGTTACCGGGGTCCCTAAGCCTGCCCCTAGTATTAGAGCTGAAGGCATCTAATGCAAAGGTTATTGGATCTGATGGATCCGTAAGGACGTGAAAATTCCGTCATCATGGAAGTCGTTCAAGAACATGTTGTAAGTTTATTATTATTTCTATAGAACTACTGATTAAAACATTGGTAGAGTCATACATACATCACTAGCAGAAGGCACCGGCTGCCTGATGCAGTCCTCGCAGCACTTGCAGATGAGCGCGAGCAGCACGTGCCCGGGCTGGGCGCTGGCTCCCCGTCGCTGGATGGCCCGGCGCCGCAGCTGGCAGTACATCTCCAGCAAGAACGACAGGAACGCCATCAACCGAGGTCGACCACCGCCGATCATCGCGCCCAACAGCTGGAAAAAAGTTAACAATTAGTTTTTTTTTTTTACTTCTATAAAACTTTCACTTTCTGCCTATTGTTAGCTTTGTATTTGATGATACTGCATTGACGTGCATTGCTTTTAAATAAAATGAAGACTGGCATATAAGAAAAATTGACGATTGACTTATTTTGCTGGCGGATATAAAATATGCTCCATATTGAGACTTCGCACATATGGGCATCAGAATTTTGCCAAATTTCAACTCCGTCTCCATAGTCATCTGTTCTAGTTCGAAGACTAGGACCCGTTGTCATTCTGTGTGATTAAAACTTTGATATGGAAAAGCCGAGAGCTCGTGTATCCAAACTTCTGAAAATTGTATATTTAAAAGCATATCTAGACATCGAATGTGGCCGTACCTTGTCCCTATCGTGGTACCATTGCTGGCACGTGTTAAGCAGCGACTCGAGGAAGGTTTCCGTCTGCTCGCGCTCAACCACGGCGATGCAGCGGCGGGCGGCCGGCAGCGCGTACCGCGGCGACTCCACTGCGCGCGAGACCAGGTGCCCCACAGCGTCCATCAGGGTACGGGCGCACACAGCATTCGGATCTGAAAATTAGACGTTGCTATCAAAATTAAACGTCACTCGATGCGGTACCAAACAGCTCTTATGCCAAATTCCCGTGTAAACTTTACAAAGCTATTATAGTCTGACCGTTTCTTTACGTCGCAAAGATACGTCATTTGGGGCCAAAATAAAGGGCGATAATGACGACGAATGATCATAGAGCACACAATACAAGCCACTTATTTTTGTTTTAGGTCACATTATTGGTGTTTGGCGCGACTCCAAAATGTAAATTATGCAAATAATCATTATTTCGCAAAAATAGCAATTTTATTTTAGTTTTAATCTTACTAAAATTCGATTTTTTGTGTCAAGTCGTAAACTTATCGTGGTATAGGCATATTATGCAAAGACAAGATGAGCATGTGGTCAAAAATATCCTGGGTGTGAAAGTAGATGGTAATGTGAAGTAGAGCCCAAAAATATTTGGATGAACTGTTTGAAAGAGGATATGCCAGGGGGGAGGAATGAGAAGGGTGTAACTAAAAAGATGACATTAACAAAACGACAAGTTTTCAACTTCATCATGCAAAAGCTTTTCACTTATCCAGGAATCAATACATATACACTTTCTAAGTCTACGGACCTTAAGCTACTAGTATTTTACCAACAAGAAATAAATAAAATTGATCCAGATCGATATTTTCTGTTTCTGTAGAATTTATCAAAGCTCAGCAAGTCTCACCTTCCAGGGCTTTATCAATACACTCTTGAATCTCCGGCGGGAATGTACCAAGGTCGCCGGCGTCGGCTGCCAGACCCAGGGCCGCCATGCCACTTGCGAGTGCATCCGCTGACGTTAAGGACTTTGACCTTTTCAATCCTGGTGTAAACGATTGTGGACGGATGCTCTTCCCGTTACCATTCGTCAGCGACGACGGAGGGGATTTCTTCTTCTCAGGAATGATAGTCTGTGGTTGCAGCTTGAAGTGCACGCGTGGCCCCTGTAATTTATAGAAAATGATGACCTTTTCTTTATTAAGGTGCCAAATACAGTCAAACCTGGATAAGCGAGAGTTCAAGGGAGCACAATCTCATTCTCGCTTATAGAGGTTTCTCACTAACCCGAGTTTCTCGCTAATGCAGCCTCTGAATTTCATTTCGCGATTTTCTGGATTCAAACGCATTCACTATTTTAAGTTTATCACTGAAAGGCAGTACTTTAATTTTACGTTTTGACATGACGCAGAACAGAATTTTCCTTCGCAATTGGTTAACGATAAACTGAGTAAGTCCGACAAACAGGACGCGTGTCCATTCGAAAAGAATGCAACAAAATAACAACGTTATTTGGTTCCACGAAATAGAATAGGTTCAATATTGACGAGAAAACAATACAAAAACAATGGTAGGAAGTTCCATGAAAGTTAAGAATGAGTCATAAAATAGCAGATGTTAAATTTGTAATTTGTTTTGTCATTTGTTCCTCGTAATAATATAAATAAATAAAGCTCGACTGTCGCTTATAGAGGTATAGATGAGTAGCAGTCTCACTTACGGAGGTACATAAGAGAAAAACGACTCTCTCTTACAGAGGTTTCTGTTTCTCGCTAATAGAGGTTTTGGGAGCTTAAAATGACGGGTCCTGGCTATTACTCTCACTTATAGAGTTTTCTCACTTATCCAGTTCTCACTTACCCAGGTTTGACTGTATATAAATAAAACGAGAGAAGTAATACAAGGTACTTTCAGTAATAAAATGTTTAATGACAGTGATACAATATTGTTGTGGTCCATATCGTAACTTTTTCTCACAGTATTATTGAGATTTAAAACATTTTTTTTAAATACTTATATGCTCTACCATTTTCTATGGACAACGATATAATAAGAGCCTACTAAGTTAGTCGTCTTTAGGGTTTATACGTCTATGATCCAAGGCTATAACAGAACCTTCTGATCTATTTTTATCGGTAAGAATACACTTTAAGCCTCTCTAGGATGAAGACTTTGCCCTGAGTATGCACACGGGAGGTGGATTTACTTTACTCGACAGTATCTAATCATACATTAGTACAATAGTATACCCCAATAATATTAAACAAACCTAATAGTGTAATGCAGTTGTATTGACGGAATGATCTCGAACAATTCCGCGATAAGGACTTTGACCTGAGACGATTTACATACTTGTCTTTTGTACGAACGGCTTGCTTGAAAAATATTGTGTAGATATATTTGCTCTCTTATACTGTATGGAACAGTATGTCCCGTGATAAATATATAGTAGATAGGTATATAGTAGGTACATAGTAGAATACCTAATACTATAGATAGGTCAATTTTCGAAATGGTAATGCTGAAATTTTCGTCCATACCTGTGCATGTGGCACGTTCCCGCTGGAGGCGCTATTGAGGAGCGCGTGAGGCGGCATCACGGGTCGGTAGTGGGGCGGCACCTGCGCGTGCAGCACCGCCGACCTGGAGTGCTGCAGTCCCACACTAGCGTACCCCACGCCCAATGCCCCTCTGTAGAATGAAATAACGAGCGAATGAGCAACGATATATTACTTTAGAAAACATCAAAATAACAGCGCTTGTAAGATTATTAAAGCTCGAGACTCGACTTCTTATATCAGATGCAAACAAGAAGTAGTTCACCCGTCGCCCTAGGCACGTCTTTACGGATCCTTTCGATCCATTAATGGTGCTTTTAGGTAGATCAATAATCCGTTGCTCGACGAGGAAATTAACCCATAGACACAGCCCACTGACTTTCCCGCCGGATCTTCTCAGAGGGCCGCGTTTCCAGTCCGGTAGTAGATTCTGCGAAGCACTGCTCTTGCTAGGGGGCAGTGTTAGCAACACTCCCGGTTTGAGCCTCATCAGATGGCCTCAGATGAGCTCATCTACACGTCAAGGCGAAGCTGAAATAGCTTACCTACCTATACTAAAATAGGTAAAAACACAAAGCCGAGTTATTTTGCCAAATGCCAAATTCACTGAAATTTGACGGGAATAGATTTCACTATATTGCCTAATGGACGTTGCAGTTTAGAAACAACCATATTTGTTTTATTCAAAAACAAAACTATAGTCACCATTATAAAAGTGTTAAATTTAAAAACTAAAACAATCTTTAAAGACTAACATATATTTTGTGTAACAAATAATTAACATGCATGTCGCACAATGCGCACCCGTTACGTAGTTCCAAAAAGGGAACACTAACTCCGAGTGGCGAAGGCAAATGAACACGAATAATGATCGGAAACGTAACTACATGAATAGATATATCAATATTAATGATTGATGATCTCACTAGTGGGTGTGGTTGTTAAACACAAGTAAATAAATTACGATTAGTTTTCGAGTCCCGAACTGCTTCTGCATCGAAATGATTTTGAAGAGTTTTCGTAATGTATGTGCAAATTTGAAACAAATGAAACATTAATGTCACAAATTGCATAAAATCATCAAAGTCGGTATGGTAATAGGTTCTAGGCGGGCTTCGGACAGTCTGCGACCGAGAGGGCTGGTGGTCGTGGCGCCGACGACCGCCAGTCCAGCGTCCCGAGGGGGAGGGTGATGGGAGAGATGTGCTCCGCACTAAACGCTTCACTTTCCCCCCTTTGCCTTGTCATGAGTTCTGTCTCATGCGAGGTTTGGACGTTGGTTGTTGAGCGACAGGAGGTTTTAGTCAGTTCGACTCTGACATACCCCGCCCAGTATCCCCAGAAAAGGGCGGAAGTCCGGCGATTTCCTCCTGACCAAAANGGGTGATGGGAGAGATGTGCTCCGCACTAAACGCTTCACTTTCCCCCCTTTGCCTTGTCATGAGTTCTGTCTCATGCGAGGTTTGGACGTTGGTTGTTGAGCGACAGGAGGTTTTAGTCAGTTCGACTCTGACATACCCCGCCCAGTATCCCCAGAAAAGGGCGGAAGTCCGGCGATTTCCTCCTGACCAAAAAAAAAATGGTACTAGGTATGAGCGTTAGGATATTTAATAAATTACCAAAGTAATTAAGAGACCTAAACGATTTTCATTTTAAGAAAAACTAAAAGATAATCTTATTAGTGAAAATTATTATCACTTAAATGATTTTCTTAGGGTCGATATTGAAAATAAATTGATTTTTGAATATTATATAATTACCATTCATTTGAATGGTAAATTATAATATAACATTAAAATGTCTTGCACTGCACTAAAATTCGCATGCCAAATAATGACAAAGCATACACGCTGCTTTAACTTATGTAATAACTCATTTTCACTATGCTTAGCGAATAAATGACTTCTTTCTTTCCTTCTTTCTTTCGGTTCACCTAGGAAAACAGGGGTAGCACGTAAAAAAATTGTCGAATTGAGAACCTTTCTCCTTTTTTTCGGAAGTCGGTCAAATATAGTACACATTAAAGCCCTCTTATTTAAAACTGGGTCCGTCATGCTGAGCTCAATGGGATCGAGGGCAAGTGGCGCGTCCTGCCCGGCGCGGGCGTGCAGCGCACTTGTCACTTGTACGGTTTACAGTTCACGAGACCACTGACCGCGCCGTGCAGCTCAACCAAGGATGCAACCAATTATAGTAAATAGAATTAAACAACTATCTATAATCATATAGCTAATCTTTATCTATATATATAAAAATGAATTGCTGTTCGTTAGTCTCGCTAAAACTCGAGAACGGCTGGATCGATTTGGCTAATTTTGGTCTTGAATTATTTGTGGAAGTCCAGAGAAGGTTTAAAAGGTAGATAAATATGAAAATGCTCGGAATTAAATAAAAATAACAATTTTGTTTTTCCTTTGATGTGTCCCCCGTCAGACGATTCCTTTTGATTTTATACAAAAGTTTAGGTCTTTTATTTATCGATTGAGGCACTACGAAGTCTGCCGAGTCAGCTAGCCTTTATATATATATTTCTTCTGTTCGTGTGTTTGACACTGAACTCCTCCTAAGCGGCTGGACCGATTTGAATGATTCTTTTTGTATGCGTTTGGGTGGCGCCCTGGATGGTTTAGATTCACAAATTAACCCGGCAGATGGCGTTGCAGTCGGTATATGGGTTATTTATCTATACTGCAACTAAGCGGCTGGATCGACTTGAATAAATTTTTGTGTATGCACAGGACAACGTCTGTCGGGGCCGACAGTTAAATAAATAGTTACATAAAATAGGAGAGCTACCTACTTTCTTGCTGCAATAATCTACTGAAAATATGTAGATGCAACAAAATAATTCTGATATGATAATTATCAAATTACTCATATACACATATGTACATACATATAATCACTTTCTAACTGCTAATAAGAATGAATTTTAAATACACTTAATTTCTCGCGATGCACAATCCCGGGAGAATGAACGCAACTGTATGGTAGTAGTACGATTCATATTATCAACATGTTATTTACGACCAAATGTCATAAAAAAACAAACAAAATGTCGACCATGTAGAAGAGGCAGTTAAATAAAACCGACCCATACGAGAATGTGTACTTTATTCAATTTCGAAATATGAAACTATTCTTAACTAGAGGTCCCGCAGTAGTCGAAATTCGACTATAATTAATTGGAATTGTAAGTTTGTACACTATTACTATTGTATTTTATACTTCTATAATCACAAATTTCGCCAAATAATAATAAAATATTAATAAAGACAAACAATATTTAATCTATTCTCAATTTGACCACAGACGTCAAGAACAAAAGTTTGACAATAAATAGTATGCATGCGTGTGTGCGTCAAATACATGGTATGTAGTGTGTGTAATGTTTTCATTATTGATTTAATATATGTTTTATGAATTATTTTAAAAAAATATTAGCATTGTGCACTTCTTCTCTATATTCTCTATAAGTGTGGAAAATTTCATACTCCTCCGTCCGCGCCAATTTTCGTAAAAAGGGATACAAAGTTTTTGCTTCACGTATTAATATATAGATTTCTATCCTTTGTATGTATCTACTTAATTTTTAATTTGTCAAAGCACTCGCGACTTCGCGTGTTTTCAATGTCAAAACCTGATAAATGAGTAATCTCACAGGGTATTTATTATTTCACGTACCTACACAGTCGTCAAGTCATATCGCCAAAGAAAACGCGAGTAGTTGGGCACAATAAATTATCTTAATGTAAACACACACTATTTCCTCAAGGTAACCACATTCCACCGCAGCTGTATTTGCTTAGATTCTGCTGCTAATTGTGAAACGGCTTTGTCTATTGACGACCTTCACTTATAGTCTTACACGAGTATCTATGTTTGCCTTTAAAGGTTATCACGAGTTAAGTATTTTAAAAGATAACGCTTGGATCCTCTCCTTTAGTTTTGATTCCATTACTGGTAAATAATTGGATCCTCTCCTTTAGTTTCGAATATTCCATAACAGGTAAACAACAAAAACATATTTATTATACAAAAAAAATTGTGTTTCTTTAGCGGTTATAGGATGAGTTGTAGGCCCAACGAGAGTGAACCACTAACTTTTCCTTCCACTGCCATTCACGTTGTGACTTACATCTTTGGTAACGACTTCGCTGAATTCGTGAAGCTCAAGATTCGGCATCTTCTTTAGTGAATTTATTTATAACTCGCGACCCGCCCTCGCTTCGCTTCGGAAACATTACATTTTATTATCGACGATGCTACCCGCGGTTATTGTCGTACCGCGGGTGAAGCCGCGGGGCGAAGCTAGTCTTAAAAAAGTAGCCTAATTTACTCCTTATATCATCAGCTACCTATCAGTGAAAGTTCCGTCAAAATCGGTCCAGCCGTTCCAGAGATTAGCCGGAGCAATCAGACAGACAGACAAAAATTGTAAAAAATGTTATTTTGGTGTGTGTACCTAGTACGAGGGCTGCACTAAAAGTATCGGGAATGGAATATTTCCACTGTTCCTGTCATATTAAAATCTTTTCAATTGAAAACTCCTTGGTTTTAAAAATCGAATACCATTTATTTATTTAAAAAAAGATTCTCGGTCTTGTCACGAGGTTTTGTCAAACTTGTTTAGTCGTTGAGAAAATGGAATTGACTCGAGAAAATTCAAGAGCGATGATTTATTATGACTTTCGAAGTGGTTTAACACAAAAACAGTGTGTTGACCGGATGATTTCT